TCCATCTATAAAAGAGTAACAATTTAGCCTTAGGACCACCATACAGATTTTAAAGGCCAACGGTTCTTTGTAAACTACCAGACAATATGCAAAATTAATGTGTTATGCTCGTCTATGGCACCCAGAACTATATAGAGTGTGAGGGAGCATGGACACAAAAATCCACAACAGCATGGGACTCTGCCACACTGAGACAATAGCTGTGGGCTGCATCCTTCGACTTTTAGGTCTTATGATCTATCTATTTAAATATCAAAACGTTTTCAAATGTCCTATGAACAAATAATGAAGTTTTACATAATATGGAAATGAGCTCACATATAGGACAGTTTTTCTATATCTAATTGAGACTTAAACAGAAGACAGATAAAGACCTAGTCATGTAATTGTTGGAATTTGGACTGCCAAATACATTCCTTCATAATTTTAAAAAGCCAGGCTTTATAGCTAACTAGCAATCTCCAGATGTTCACTCTCAGAAATCACTTGCTTTGATCCACAGCACAGCATTCTACACGGTGCGTCCTCCTCTGCCTGCTGATATTTTACTCACACCTAATAAGCATCTCTAAACACCTATATAAAAAATCATCAGTAAAGGACTAAAAGCATGTCTTTTTCTTGCCCTTTCTTTAGGGTAAAGGCACAGAGCTGGTTCACCTATGGGATTAGTCCATACATTTAGCTATATTCTAGCTAACTCATGCTGTGATGCTGTCCTATATTTGAATTATTTTATTCACATCTTGCATATATTAGTTTGTTTGGTGTATGTATGTTCAAGTATATACGGGTCCAAGGGTGTTTAGGTGCATATGGAGGCCTAACACTGATACCAGGAGTCTTTCTCTATCACTTGACACTGAACCCAGAACTCAATAGTATGGATGGTGGAATTACAGGTTCACTGTCACACCCATGCAGGATTTAGATGGGTGCTGGGGATCTGAATTCCTGTCCAGCAAGAAATTTATCTACTAACCATGTCCTCAGTCCCCATTTAAGTCCATCTTGAGCTCTTCAAGACAACCAGATACTGAGTTGTTTAGGGAAAAAAAAATTCAAATAATTACATGAAAAAAAAAATTGGCTTACTGAATATTTAAAAGGCTGTTTGAAGCTAGATTAATATTTGAAAATCAGCCAGGCATGGTGGCATGTGCCAGTACTCCCAGCTACTGGAGAAGCTCAGGTAGAATGGTGGCTTGAGCCCAAGAGTTCCTGGCCAGCCAAGCAACATAGCATGACTTTGTCTTACAAATATATTAAAAATATTTAAAAGGGCTTTGGCGTAGTAGAACACTCCTATAATTCCAAAACTCTGGAGTTAGAGACAGGGAAGCACAGTTCAAGGCCAGCCTCGGCTACAAAGTGAGTTCAGCCAAGTCTGGGCTGTGTTAGAACCTGCTCAGAAATATTAAAATGAAATCATAAATTGTTCCTTTAAAGAAAGCAATATTTAAACTGAGGATGTAGGTTAAGTTGATGGAGTGCCTGCCTACGGTAAACCAAGGAGCATCTTATAAACTGATTACAGTGACAGGTGCTCAGGAGAATAAGTCACAGGAACTCTGAGGATGTCTGGGATGCATGAGCAAATGTTATTTCTCACACATAATAACCTTCATGTGTTACAATTTGACTTTTATATTGGAAACTGGCTTGATTACATTTATACTTTCTTTAAAATGTAAACATTCACTTTTAGGCTAATCCCAAAATGAGCATATTACAATTAAAACTTTTATCAAGAAAAAATTATTCTATCCATTGGTACATAATCTAGCACTTGGGATGCTGACAGGGTAATAACCACAAGTTTAAGAAAGCCTGGGCTCCATAGTTAAAGACTCTGTCTCAAGGGTAGGATTAAAACCAACAACCACTACCACCAAACAACAAAACAACAACAAAAAAACTGAATTAAAATTTGAAATAAGAAAAAGATGTTAAAAGAATTGATTAAGCATAGAATGTATCCAACACCTGCCTTACGAAAGGCAGTAAGATCAGCAAGAAAAGCTTTATTTCCTGGTAGTTTCCCACTTTTACAAACACAAATGAAGCTTAAATATATACTGTGAAACATTCTGTATGTATCCCCATATTAGGTGTGGAGGTTTCACACCAAAAATAACATGGGGTAACTTTTAAAAACTGTCTCCCAAGCGCTGCCTTTTCAAATGACACTACTATATGTACCAAAAGATACTGTACCGAAGAGAAATTCCAGAGAACACACATCTGCCAGCCCAACTACCTGGGATTCATCAGCTGCAGAGAATAGAATGACCTTTTAGTTGCTTTTATGTGAAGCAAGGGTAATATAAGAAACGTGGCATCAAACATCTAATACTATCTCTGGTTCCCAAAACCACTACACAGGTGTCTTACAAAATGCAAATTCTGCAGTTTTCCTTATCTACACACTCCAACCACAGGCATAGTTTGGGTTTTAAGTCTTAAAGATTTACAAGATGATTCACTATTGGATTCCCTTAAATAACCAGCTTTTGAAGAATCCTTCTGCTGCTAAAAGCACTAAAATTTTTTGCTTATGAAAACGTAGTCTTCTCACAATTTCCCAAGAACCCCTCGAGGATCTGAAAGGAGATATAAGCATCCACTTCCTTGACAAAAACACTTTCAATATCTGTTACCCCAGAATTTCACGTTTTAAATTCTTTAGTTGAAAAAAGAAGTTTCTACACGTAAGTGCTTTCTTTTACATTAATGGCTCTCTTGGTGATAAAATAGAGATCAATGTAACTCTAAGCTCCAGACTAATGAACTGCAGGGAAAAGAAACAAGCAATTTGGCAAGAGCTGAGCAGAGCTCTGCTTAAAGGCTACTAGTAAAATAGACCAGCTCCCCTCCCCCATCCTACCCCTTTAAGGTTTCAATTAAGATGGGGCCTAGTTTTACTCTTGGAAGGCGACAGAAAAGAGAAGGCACAACTCCTGCTAGGAAGTCTCCTCTTCAGAGGCAGATCTTCAGCATAGACAAGATCCATTCCTTCAGCTGCCACAGGCATGTCTCCTCTGGGCCTAGTCAACACCAACTCTAAAGGGCAAATTTTCAACACATGCCACTCATGAATCAACTGGCATCAAATCAATTAGAATAATTTTTAATCCAACATTAGGATCACAGATGATGTGAAATGAATCTTTACAGTCCAACACTACTACGCATCTTTAATATGCCATAAAAATGGGATTTGTTTTCCCGATCGCAACTCTCCTTTCTGCTGTCTCTCCTGGATTAGTTATGGGATAAAGTTGTTTAACAAGGCATATATACTTTCAAAATTAACTTAAGTGCTCCAACTGGTGAAAAAGGCACTTTCAAAACACAGAGGCTTCTGCAAGCCCTCCAGAATTCCTCAAAACTAACAAACGTAAAGATCCCATTACATACAAAGATTATCACAGCCCCCCGCCAAGACACCCAATTACTTTTTGCCAAGCGCACAATCTGCATATTAGTGGACACACAGGCCAGTCTTCCAGCCAATATGAACTGGGAAATGAACGCAGTCACAACACTTAAAACAACAACAACAACAAAGTTAATGCCGCTCTAGGAAAAGCGTAGGAATGAAATGACTTCACTATGTAAGGAATTATAATACATCAAAGGTTAGATAATGGACAACAGGTGTCTTTGGAGAGAAAGGAGCCACAATGCATTGCTCCTATTTTAGGATTTTCTCAAAGCAGTATAAAACAATGATTTTTTTTTTTTTCCTCAAGAAAGTCAAGACCAAAATTGCAGCTCTACTATTCAGCAACTGTAAGAGCCTGATGCTCCTCGACTTGTTTGGTTTTTTTTTTTTACTTCATTTTACATTTTTGATCCATCTAATCCCAACCTTGTGTGGACAGATTAAACTTTGGCTCAGGGCTGGATGGTTTACTGATCCATGGACATTAACTAACTAGAGATATATTACCAAGAAATGAAAAAGAAAAGCATCTGAATACAGGCTACCACCACATAAAATATTCAAAATAAAAATCAAATCCAGGAGCAGGTATCACATAACTGCAGTATAAGCCAAAGTAGAACCCTTTCTCCTCACTTAACACTTACAGCTTAATCTTTACAGTAAATGGATTCCAGTGGCCTCAAAGAATAGTAATTCCAGACACAGGTACTGGCTACCCTGGAGTTCTGTTCCTCAGGCCACTCACAAAATTTACCACCTGTATTCTGGTCAAATGGAACGCTGAGAAGACACTTGGGCCAACCCAATAAGCTATCCCTTTCTCTTCATTCCACAAAGACAGCATATTCCAAAAATGGAGAATCCTTTCTTTCCCGATCGAGGGCCCCCTCTCTTATGGGTTCACTGGGCAGGATTACTTCTCTCCAGCACGCATGGAGAACACACTTCTGCTTTCACTCTTAAAGAGGGTCCCCCAACACAGATGCACCTCTTCCTTTCTTGTGCTGAGTAAAGGATGCGTTCTCTCCACCACTGCAAAATGCTCAGAGAGGTGGAGAGAAAGTTGTCAGTTACTGAGGGCTCCTCAATAAATCTCCAACTATAAAGGCTGACGAAGGGTGCCTCCAAATCCAGAAGTGGGACTGGGGATTCCTACTCTCTTCGGCAAGGCTGCCCCAATCCTGCCTAGAATTCCTTAAGTGGAGAAATGCACGCTGACGGAGGGGTGCCCCGACTTTAACTGCGGGTTGGAGGAAGGTGCTAGGTGTACCGGGAAGGACGTTGCATTTGCTGGAGGGTCGCCGAGAGGAAGAAGGGCCCCCGCACTGAAGGGGGCTCTGGGAAGAAAGGAGGGTCTGGAGGCGGGGGCCGCATGGGGGAGGGGCCGCCCGTCCCGGAGGCGGCGGCGGGGCTGCAGCCGCGCGGGGACCATGTGCCGGGAGCGGCGGCCACCCGGAGGGGCAGCTGGAGAGCGGGGCCCGCGGCGCGCGCGCAGGAAGCCGGGGTCCCGGGTTACGCACGGGGGGCGCGAGCCCGCCGCCGGACTCACCGAGGCTGCCGGCGAAACCGTCCATCTTGCGGGGAACGCGCCGGGCTCGGGGCTCAGCGGGGCGGGAGCTTCATTCAGCACACCGACCGAGCGGCGGCCGCGGAGCCCGACGCGCTGGTCTTCGGCGTCGCGCAGCGCAGCTCCTGACTCCCGCCTCCGCCGTCCGCCGGTCCGTCCGTCCGCTCGAGGGTCGCTCGGTCAACCAGGTTGAGAGCCGCGCCGCCCGCCGCCTGCCCGGCCTCTCTCTCTCCCCCAAGCCGCAGAACTGAGCGCCGCGCCCCGCCCCCGCGCCCGCGCGCAGCCCCGGCCCCGCCCCCGCGCACGCCGTCACGCTTCCGATCCCGCCCCCCACGTGATGGAACGGGGCGGGGCCTCACCCGACACGCCCCTCCCTTTGCCGGACCTCCTCAGCCGCCGTGATTACTAGAGCTGAGACGCTAGTGGCGGCGCTTGCGTTCTGGGTCCGGGTTCGCGGCCAGGCTTCTCCAACCCGAAAGTGGGTCTGATGGGTGGAGCTCATGGGTAACCTGCTGATTTGGAAGCTGAAGTGCATGGTGGGATTCCCTCTCTGGGGAGCCCGCGGAGTTCAGTTCTCGCGTTCTAAAGGGAGATGATAATCCGACCAGGGCGGTATAGAGGCATCCGCGTGAGAGGAGGGATCCCCCTTTCTGAGGTTCCCCTCTCCTCTAGTCAGGTGAGGAATAATAAATAGGGGCAAGACTTCTTGAGCAGCTGGAGGCCAACACAGCCGCAACCGCAGGTTCCAGGACAGAGCACTGGCGAGCAATGTTAATGCTGGGTGAAAAGAGTTCATCTTAGCAAATTCAACTTACGAGGAAAGACGCTGGGTCTAGAGTACATAGGTCACGGAGCCTGGTGGAAGTACACCTAAATGGCCAGCTTCTTACTCTCTTTTTGTTCTTCCCATTGGGGTGCAAAACCACCAGATAGGCTATCAGGAAACTATACCACAGATTATTTTAGTAAACCGACTCTATCAAGTCACCCAATTAATTTAGGCCTCACTTCATTTGCAAGTTCAGGGGCTAGACTTGTAACCAAAACGTATTCCATCTTTCTCTTCAATTCTCCAAGCCTATCCTCTTTCCTTACAAAGACATTTGAATATTTTAAGTCCCTTCTAGTTTGAAGGTTGTACGTATTAGAGTAACAAAGAACTGTAAGGCGTTCAGGGGCTAAAATGGATATACCTTTTACAATAGCTAGGTTAGACCAGGCAGTGATAGCAAACGCCTTTAGTCCCAGCCTTTGAAGACAGCCTGGTCTACTGAATGAGTTCCGGGACAGATAAGACTACCCAGAGAAACCCTGTCTCAAAACCGGGAAGAAAAAATAAAATGTCTGTTGACGAACAAAATAAAATGTCTGTTAACGGAAAAAAATAAAATGTCTGTTGATAGAGTTGTAGGTTTCAAGGGACAAAGTGAAGTAAGGAGAGGAGAAATAGGAAACAGCAACTGTCATGATGAAAAGGACTTACAGAATTAAATGGTTGAAAGGGTTTTTAAACGTACTTCTCCCCTTTGATGACTCTTTAAAAATCTTCCCTAAGGGCTTGGTGAGTGTGACTCAGTGACGGGATTGTGCTTAGTAGATATGAAGCACTGGGTTTGACTCCCTGCTCTGGAAACAAACAAAACCTAACTTAAAAATCTAAACATCACAGCAAACCTAGGAGGTCACTATTGTAAGTAGGACATAGCTAGGCTATGCAGTCAGTAAAGGGCTTTCCGTGCAAGTATGAAAAGTGTAATAATGTACAGTTACAATCCCAATTCTGAGAAGGCAGAGACAAATTGATCCTCGGGGCTTGCTCTCCAGCCTGCCTACGCAGAGAGCTCCAGGCCAGTGAGAGGCCTGGTCTCATAAACAGAACCCATGAGGAACTATACCTGAGGCTGACCTCTGGCACACACATACACAAGCTCACACAAAAGAAAACATGACGTTGGCTTTAAAATAAATTTTGATTAAAAGGAGAGGGCAATAATTCAGGTTTTCTTCTATCATGCTGGACTATTTTTAAGTTATTGATAACTGAAGCAAAACATGACTTCACGCTTACAGAAGGCTATATATATATGAGTATATATAGTATTGCTAAAGCTGCTGATTAATTTTATTTCATTTGACTCACATTTTAAAAAGAAAAACACAATGTATCATGCTTTTAAAATTCTACAGTGCTGCATTACTGAATTTGTTCCTGACAGGAGATAATGTCTGTTTTGGCTTGACATCAGTGAAAACCAATTCCCCACTTACAATGTACTTATCTAATGACTGCAAGGATCTTCCCCTCGATCAGCTTCTGGCTCTGTGTGTTGCAATCTTTGCTTCTCCCACACTCCTCACATACTGCCAGTGCCAACCATATCCTATGTCCATACCGTGTTCTAACCTCTAGCCCTGAAACTCTATGACAGGGTGCCAGGTGAGTCAGTGCAGTGGGCCACAGGAGCACTCCCAGAATCTATTGTTAAACAAAAGTAGCCGGCAGTGACTCAATGCAGATGGCAATGGTCTGTTGTGGAATATATCACTAAGCCTAAAATTAAATGTATCCCCAACTTAACTTTCCAAAGCCAGATGCCCCAAATATTCAGTTATTCCAATACTGCCTGCTGGAGTGGAACAAGTGACAAAGGGGAAGATGGTAATGGAAAGAGACACCTGCCTACACAGTACAAACTCACGTTGCAGGGCATGGCACACTCATCTGTAATCTCTGCACCCTGGAGGCTGAGTCAGGAAAATCAGAAGTTCAAGCTCATCTTCAGATACATAGCAAATCTGGAGCCAACCTGGCTAAATGAAATCCTATAACCCAATCTCCCAAACCAAAACCAACAAACAGGAAAACTGGGAGTGAGGGGCGAAGAAATCTGAAGCCCAACCATTGTGAAGTTCATATGCCTCAGTTATATTTTAACCCAGGTTTATTCTAACTAGTGAAACCAACCAAACGAGTTAAAAAAAAAAAAAAGGCTGAGACAGGAAAAATGAAATAAAAACTCAGAATGAGGGCAGATAAGGGCTGAGGAGCTAGTTCAGTGGGAAGGGTAAAATGTTTACTGTGTAAGCCACATAAAAAGCTAGTAGTCCTCCCAGGCAGTGGCGGCACAGGCCTTTAGTCCCAGCACTCAGGAGGCAGAGGCTGGCAGATCTCTGAGTAAGGCAGTAAGAAATGCTTCAGAAGGCAGACTCTGTCAGTCCAGGTAGTATACACCTTAGATCCCAGCACTTGGGAGCCTGAGGCTGACAAATCTCTGTGAGTTCAAGGCCAGCCAGGATGACACAGTAATCCCTTCTCAAAAAAGGTAAGTAGCACATTGGGTTAGGCTCCTAGGACAGTGACTCAGAGTGCATGCATGAAGCCCTGGTGCCCATCTTCAGAACCACAGAAACTGAGCACGGTTATGCAGGAGTATAATCCCAGTACTTGGTAGGTAGAGATAGATGAAACAAGAATTCAGTGTCAGCATTGGCTGTATAGTAAACCAGGAGACCTTACTGAGCTATGTGATATGCCATCTTAAAAACAAGCCAAGGAACTAAACAGCAACAAATGCAGACAAGACTCCAGAATCATAGTATCATGCTGTTCACTTTCCAATCCCAACCTCATCACTGACTAGGTAAGATTTGACCAAGTATCTAATCTCTGTACCTCAGGACTTTATACGTAGCATGTGATTGTCATATTCTAGAGCTGCTGGAAAGATAGAGTGTGATAATCCAGGGAAAGACCCCCTGTTAGCATACCTTTTAAAAACTTTTATTTTCATTTCTTATATCTCTTTCTCCCTACTCCACCCCAATCCCTTCCAATACCCCAATACCAGATAGGAGAGAGAAAGGGTTAGTGGGAGAGGGGCGCAATTCTCTTAGCTGCTTCCTGCTGGCTAGGATTGTTGGGTTCCTTGGAGCAAGTCCAATCCTTATTTCAGGAGATCTCCAATGTCTTGTCTCACTGCATCAATCAGGAGCCAAAGAGGGAAGCAGGAGCAGCCTTGTTCTTTCTTAGAGCTCCTCACTCTCTGGGCTCTGGCATTTATTCTCTCTCCAGAGTCCTCAGATTTAAACTATCTGCAGCTAGCAAAGAGCTCCTCTCAGTGCCCACATGAGGCAAATATAGTCTGCTGCTTTGAACCATCTGAATCTGTCCCACATCCCATACCTGGGATTAAAACGAAAACATGTTTACATCCACAGCAGCCCCCAGCACAGAGCCCAGGATGCTAGACGAACTATAGTGACTACATAAGCAGTACCTACATAAGCAGTCACACTTCTGTTTGCACCCCAGTACATACTCCAATACATCCAGTAGCTGTGCAGCAAATATTTACCAAGAAATGAATGAGCATGGACGAACTGAAAACTAGTTAGAGATCATTATTTCTTTTTCTGTTTCATTTAGTTTGGTTTGGTTTTTTGAGACAGAGTTTCTCTGTGTAGCCCTGGCTGTTCTGGAACTAGCTCTTTAGATCAGGCTGGCCTCAGAATCACAGAGATCCAGCTGCCTCTGTCTGCTGTGTGCTAGGATTAAAAGCATGCACCACCACACCTGGCCTTGAGCTTACTATTTCAACATCGAATGCCCAGCTGCTTTAAAGCAGCCAGTATCAATTTGTCTGTTTTCTATTTCTCCAACCAGATGTTTCAAGCTGTATAGTAGCCATAATAAAGCGAAACATTTAATAATAGTCTTTCAAAGTGAGCATGCAGCAGGTATTATCATTAAAATAAAATGAAACCCATGTAGAACTCCAAATATATGAGACATTTACTAATTACTGAATGCAAAGTGGTTGGGTTTTATTTATGTTTTTTGTTGTTTTGTTTTGTTTTCAAGACAAGGACTCTCTGTGTAGCCCTGGCTGTCCTGGGTAGACCAAACTGGCCTCAAACTCACAGAAATCTAAGTCCCTCTACCTCCAGAGTGCTGGGATTAAAGGTGTGTACCACCACCTTCTACTAAACAAAGTTTTTTTTTTGTTTTTTTTTTGTGTGTGTGTGTGTGTGTGTGTGTGTGTGTGTTTAAACAAGACTTTAAGAAAAGGTTTTAGTTCAGTTTTAAGCACTGGCAGCAAGAGAGAGCATGGTGCTTAGGAGAAGGACAGTATATACACTGGTTTCTTAGGAGAACTAGCTAGATTATTAATTTTAAAAAGGAATTGATTGTTAGATTATTTTCACTTAGAGAGCTTAAAGTACAATTC